GACGAACAATTAATTAATGGTGGTAATGAATAATCACAATTCATTTCATCTTTACCATCTAAACAATTCCATATTTTATCACAATGAGTATACATATTATCACATTCCCATTGTTCACATTCAGTTTCATCTGTTTGATTTTTTCCATCTATCATTATTGGATATAATTCCTGAAAACCATCACAAATTGTCTGAAAAGATATAGTTCTTCGAGTAAAGTTGCCGTAGTCATCTAAATCTTCACAAAAATCATAATTATCATATTCACAATCACAATCTCTATTAAAAATGGCCATTCGAGGAATATATTTGTTAGTAACGTGACATTTGTAATATTTGTGTTTGACTTGTGCGAATAATTGAGGATTTGTATCTTCAAATATATTTTCATCATCATTATAAGGACAATCAGTTACACCATTGATCAAACGATGAAATGAAATACATTTGGATGAATTCCGGCATTGATAGAAATTGGATTCATTACATCGATGTAGAGGAAAACTAATTATTGGATGATAGTTTTCCATTTGTTGGTAAATGTTGTCCATAGGTTTCTGAAATCGACCAGTGGTATTATATGCATCGGATGTGGTGACTGACGTAAAATGAAGTTGAGAAAATTTAAAACACATTGTATAATTCAACAACGTTTCTAAAACTAAGCTAAGTGAATCATCATAAAAAGATTTATTCGAACATAAATAAGGTGGTTCTATTTCAAATGGATGCGATAATTCATTTTTCTTGTAAGCTGTATTAATATGACCAAAGAAAACTGGAATATTAGGAACATATAACATATCTGGACATGTTTTATTTATGATAGGTATACACTCTTCGTTGATAACATCAAAAGTTATATATGGATGTTCTGCAGTTTTAATAGCAAAGTAACATTTATAAGCTGACCAACATTCATCTGATACATTATTATCTTTAATTGAAAACATCGATTGCATTAATGGTAGTCTACGCGAATATATACAAGAACTTGTTACAAACGTAGATCGACAGATCGTATCATCTCGTCCAAATGCTGGTTCGACTGGAAAAAATGATTCTAAAATAATAGATTCTTTGGCAATTTCATCAGATTCGTCAATACAATCACAATTATAAATATCATCTTTAACAAATTCGGTTGGTATACATTGTCCAATATTACATCGATATTCATTTGGTTTACATTCATTAAATTCAAGTTCCCAACAATGTTCTTCATCATATTCTCCATCAAGACAATCAACTTTACCATCACAAATTTCTGTCCAATCTAAACATGCAGGTGAATAACCGCGATTACATTTCAAATGTGTGTAACAAGTTAAATTAGTCGGATCATAAAGATAATGGACATAATAACTAAAAACCATTTCATATAATGATGAATAATTTTCATGATAATAATAGAATTCATATTGACACATTGATCCAAATCTTGGTAATGTACAATTATAGAAGATTTGCTCTGCGAAAGACGAATCATTTGATAATAAATAGAATTCATATTGTTCAATAATATCAATCGGTGTTGACCAGAAATATAAATCTTCACTTGTAATATTCATTTTTGCAAGTTTAGCAAAAGAAAACGTTTGAGATGAATTATCATTTTCAATATGAAATTTCAATGATGATTCACTCATACAATAAGATGAGATTTGTCGAGTAGATTTGTCTAGATCCATATTTGAAGCAAGTCGAATACAGTTATATCGTATACCAATTTCATCATAATTTTCACTTTCGCTTACTTGATTTGTAAAATAAAGATTGATTTGTGGTATAGCAACAATCCAATGAATAAAAATCAAATAGAATATACATTTCATATGAAACATTTTCTATATAAAATACAATGAATAAAATACT